GAATATCCCACAATCACACTCCCCCAAGACACCCTCGGAGAGTAGGGTCACGACCAGGGATCAGCCCTTATTGACGGCTTTGATACTGTATGGAACACAGAATCTTACTTTTCCCCGAGCTGCCTGTAAGCTACTGCTAAATTCACAGTAACCCCTTTACAGTGTACATGATTCCATAGGTTACATGACTTGGGAAATACTGCAAATGTTTGAAACATGTGACACGTCACATGAAAGAGATGCACACTCACAACAATATTCCAAAGTTCCACACTTGATCACGAGACCAGCACGTTTCAATGAAAAACGGAATTCCTAAACAAAGGTTAAACCACTGTACATTTCAGTGCTTTTCAAGCATGAACTCCATATCAGGAGCAAGATCAAAGCTCCTGCACCTAATTACAGCAGCCATATCAACAGTGACATTTATATAATAGCAAGCTGTTGAGATAAGTTGTCCTAGTCGCCTCTGATCTTGCACTTTTAAAACTACTTGCCCTTGAGAACACTAATTGGTTATCTCAATTTAGATAGAGCTATACCAAAAGCGGCACATTTTACATTACATTTTAGCAGACGCTCTCATCCAGAGCGACTTACAGTTAGTGAGTGCATACATTATACTTAATTTTTCATACTGGCCCCCCGTGGGAATCGAACCCACAACCCTGGGGTTGCAAACGCCATGCTGAGCTACATCCCTGCCAACTGAGCTACATCCCTGCCGGCCATTCCCTCCCCTACCCTGGACGACGCTGTGCGCCACCCCATGGGTCTCCCGGTCGCGGCCGGCTACGACAGAGCCTGGATTCGAACCAGGATCTCTAGTGGCACAGCTAGCACTGCGATGCAGTGCCTTAGACCACTGCGCCACTCGGGAGGCACACACTATAAACATTACTCCAGGTTGAGTCCACCAGGGGTGGGAAATATTGACTTCTCAACAGATTAAATAAAGGAATTTACAATCATATTTATGATTTTAGTTTGAAATCTATGATACTACCACAAAATATAGCTACAGTGAACAAAAATATAAACGCAAAATATATCAATTTCAAAGATTTGACTGAGTTACAAGTCATATAAGAAAATCAGTCAATTGAAATAAATTCATTAGGCCCTAATCTATGGATTTCACATGACTGGGAATACAAATACGCATCTGTTGGTCACAGATACCTTTTTTTAAAAGGTAGGGGCGTGGATCAGAAAACAAGTCACTACCTCAAGCACCGCGACACATCTCCTTCGTATACAGTTGATCAGGCTGTTGATTGTGGCCTGTGGAATGTTGTCCCACTCCTCTTCAATGGCTGTGCGAAGTTGCTGGATATTGGCGGGAACTGGAACACGCTGTTGTACACATCGATCCAGAGCATCCCAAACATGCTCAATGGGTGACATGTCTGGTGAGTATGCAGGCCATGGAAGAACTGGGACATTTTCAGCTTCCAGGAATTGTGTACAGATCCTTGTGACATGGGGCTGTGCATTATCATGCTGAAACATGAGGTGATGGTGGCGGTCGAATGGCACGACAATGGGCCTCAGGGTCTCGTCACGGTATCTCTGTGCATTCAAATTGCCATCGATAAAATGCAATTGTGTTCATTGTCTGTAGCTTATGCCTGCTCATACCATAACTCCACCGCCACCATGAGGCACTCTGTCCACAACATTGACATCAGTAAACCGCTTATCCACACGATGACATACACGCTGTCTGTCATCTGCCCGGTACAGTTGAAACCGGGAATCATCCGTGAAGAGCACACTTCTCCAGCGTGCCAGTGGCCATCGAAGGTGAGCCTTTGCCTACTGATGTCGGTTACAATGCGGACATTCAATTCTCTAGCAACAGCTCTGGTGGACATTCCTGCAGTCAGCATGCCAATTGCACGCTCCCTCAAAACTTGAGACATCTGTGGCATTGTGTTGTGTTACAAAACTGCACATTTTAGAGTGGCCTGTTATTGTCCTTAGCACAAGGTGCACCTGTGTAATGATCATGCTGTTTAATCAGCTTCTTGATATGCCACACCTGTTAGGTAGATGGATGATCTAGGCAAATGAGAAATGCTCACTAACAGGGATGTAAACAACTTTGTGCACAAAATTTGAGAGAAATAAGCTTTTTGTGCATACGGAAAATTTCCCGGGATCTTTTATTTCAGCTCATGAAACATGGGACCACACTATTTTTGTTCAGTATAGTTTGTTTTTAAACCTGTTTGGCAATGTGTCTTGAAATGTTTTAGCCTGCATTTATAACAAATTCATAATAGGAAAGTGTTTTAGAGGAAGAATAACACATCCCAATTAATAAGTCTGCAGAGGATAACAATTATCTGCTCTATAACTCTCTCTGTTAAGCATAGACACATGTTGTTGTTCATTAAGACGTAATCCTCAAAGACCCACATCTACCCTGTAAGAAATAATAAAACATTATCATCACAGACCTTGACTTATCTTTGACTTGTCCCCCCCCCAGGAACAAACAGACGCCTCACAGGTCCTCAACTGGCAGCTTCATTAAATAGTACCCGCAAAACACCAGTCTCAACGTCAACAGTGAAGAGGCGACTCCGGGATGCTGACCTTCTAGGCAGAGTTGCAAAGAAAAATACATATCTCAGACTGGCCAATAAAAAGAAAAGATTAAGATGGCCAGTCTGAGATATGGCTTTTTCTTTGCAACTCTGCCTAGAAGGTCAGCATCCCGGAGTCGCCTCTTCACTGTTGACGTTGAGACTGGTGTTTTGCGGATACTATTTAATGAAGCTGCCAGTTGAGGACCTGTGAGGCGTCTGTTTCTCAAACTAGACACTATAATGTATTTGTCCTCTTGCTCAGTTGTGCACCGGGGCCTCCCACTCCTCTTTCTATTCTGGTTAGAGCCAGTTTGCGCTGTTCTGTGAAGGGAGTAGTACATAGAGTTGTACGAGATCATCAGTTTCTTGGCAATTTCTCGCATGGAATAGCCTTCATTTCTCAGAACAAGAATAGACTGATGAGTTTCAGAAGAAAGTTATTTGTTTCTGGCCATTTTGAGCCTGTAATCAAACCCACAATTGCTGATGCTCCAGAATCTCAACCAGTCTGAAGATGGTCAGTTTTATTGGTTCTTTAAATCAGCACAACAGTTTTCAGCTGTGCTAACATGATTGCAAAAGGGTTTTCTAATGATCAATTAGCCTTTTAAAATGATAAACATGGATTAGAAAACACAACGTGCCATTGGAACACAGGAGTGATGGTTGCCGATAATGGGCCTCTGTACGCCTATGTAGATATTCCATTACAAATCAGCCGTTTCCAGCTACAATAGCCATTTACAACATTAACAATGTCTACACTGTATTTCTGATCAATTTGATGTTATTTTAATGGACAACATTTTTTTTTGCGAAAACAAGGACATTTCTAAGTGGCCCCAAACTTTTGAACAGTAGTGTAGGTATACAGTGACTTGGCATAAATAGTCAAGTGTTACCTTGAGTGGGAGTTCATTAATTGGGGGTATTTTAGAATTGGATACACACTGCCTATTAACATTTTAGCTTCCTCTATAGACAGTTATTTGCACTGACAGCAGTGGTGGAAAAAGTACCCAATTGTCATACTTGAGTAAAAGTAAAGATACCTTAATAGAAAATGACTCAAGTAAAAGTCACCCAGTAAAATACTACTTGAGTAAAAGTCTAAAAGTATTTGGTTTTAAATATACATAAGTATCAAAAATAAATATAATTGCTAAAATATACTTAAGTATAAAAAGTAAAAGTATAAATCATTTCAAATTTGACATTTTAGTCGTTTAGCAGACACTCTTATCCGGAGCGACTTACAGTTAGTGAGTGCATACATTTGCGTACAAATGACTTATATTAAGAAAACCAGACAGCACAATTTTTATTTATCGATAGTCGGGGGGACACTCCAACACTCAGACATCATTTACAAACCAAGCATTTGTGTTTAGTGAGTCCGCCAGATCAGAGGCAGTAGAGATGACCAGGGTTGATCTCTTGATAAGTGTGTGAATTGGACCATTTTCTTGTCCTGCTAAGCATTCAAAATGTAACGAGTACTTTTGTGTGTCAGGGAAAATGTACGGAGTATAAAGTACATTATTTTCTTTAGGAATGTAGCGAAGTAAAAGTAAAAGTTGTCAAAAATAGAAATAGTAAAGTAAAGTACAGATACCACAAAAAAACTACTTAAGCAGTACTTTAAAGTATTTTTACTTTAGTACTTTACACCACTGACTGACAGAAGCAATACAATCCTGTTAGGGATTTTCTTCTTACAGTATAAACATTTGGGGGAAAGAGGACATTTTGATGGACAATTGAATTAATACCAGTGAAGTCATGCATGTTCATGTATGGAAAATACTTCTACCAATTAACTTTACATATGCTTTATTATTATGTAATTCCAAAGTTCAAGTGAGAAGGTGGGAAAAATACATTGCCGCCACATAGGCCTGCAGTTAAATTAATATTCCTGTTTATTCTGTTCTTGGTCACCAACATACCGGAAATAGGATTGGCTAAATTTGACTGGATGCAAATCAGTCCTCTATTTCCTTACCCCATTGAAGTTTAAATGTAAAATAGTTACGATAATGGTTAAGGTTAGGGTTAGGTAAGGTGTTATGGTTAAGGTTAAGGGTAGGATTTAGGATAGGGACGTCCCAAGGATTCCGGATAGCATGGACCATTTCTCTAATGAAACAATGCACTACTCAGTCAGAAGATCCTTGGGCGTCTCGTAGACCTACTACATGAAAATAGTGCATGTCTTTTAAATACATTTTAGAATTGAGTTTGAGTCTATATATGTTAACTCATCAAGGTTTAGATTTGTTGAAACAATCGTGAGGTGTCTGAAATCCGAGAAATTAATAGTCTAATTTGAAGGGGGAAAAAACAAGAAGGCGGAGGGATCTCCACTACACCCTTTACGAGTAATAATATTGGCTTTAAAGAGTAGCCTCGACCTCGTTACAGCCAGAGATTACAGAGTGCGTGAGGAGAATCATCGGGCACATCTCGAAGTGGCTTACTGGTACTTTTTAAAGCTCACAATAACACATGTGCGCAGAAGGAAACATTTTCGGGATTTTGATCTGAAGTGAATAACAACATTATTTTATTTGTTGGCCTAATACTTTTCAACGTTATTCTCGCAGTGAAATCAGAGACGGGTCTGCCTTTTATCCTTGGCATTTCGGTGTCCTTGTGCGCAATTGGACATAATTTTCAGAACCTGAATTGGGAGTAAATTTTTGGGAACGAACAATAATGTTACTGTCCAAATTTGGCTCATTTTCCCATATTTGCAGCACGTCCAACATGGATTTGCCAGTGAAAATACAGCTTCAGCAGCAAGGTATGGAATTTCCCTACGTAATTATGTGACATTAGGTTATTTCCTATAACGTTACAGCTCAGTTGGACCCACATGATATGAAACGACTGCGTCAATAAATGGGCATTAGTGGTAGCTATTATTGTAGGCTATTACAGAATCTTTTCCAATATAGTTTCGTGATTATTTGACATGTCAGACATTGGAGGATTTGCCGGCAAGTCTGACCTTAAATCTGGAGCCATTTTGAAACCCTCGTGCTGGAGCGCATTTTGTGCCTGAAGGTTGTTTGAGATTGCAACTACATTTAAATTTAAATTTAATTAACAGTGAAGGTGGAGAAGGAGCCATTCGATAAAGTATACCAGGTGGGATCCGTACTAGGAAGCGGGGGATTCGGTACGGTCTACGCCGGTAGTCGGATTTCAGACTGTTTGCCGGTAAGGGGAACATTTTAAACTGCTTTGTTTTGATCGCACCACATGGCCGCAATGTTCGCTGCGTCCACTGATGCGGTTCTCATTATCACTATGCCTTTTTTTTTTATTCCAGGTTGCTGTAAAACATGTAGCCAAAGAGAGAGTTACGGAATGGGGTACCCTTGTAAGTATTATATCCTACGTGTTTTTGTATTATTTGAATGTAGGTTATTCCCGCAAATTGTTGTTTGGGATTACATTGTAACCATCTGCTATTGTTTCATTTAAAGAACGGTTCATTGGTGCCTCTGGAGATTCTGCTCTTGAAAAAGGTGGGCACCACTTTCCGAGGCGTTATAAAGCTGATTGATTGGTACGAGCGACCCGATGGCTGGTTAATAATCATGGAACGACCGGAGACTGTCAAGGATTTGTTTGACTATATAACCGAGAAGGGAGCTTTGGACGAAGACACAGCGCGTGGATTTTTCCGTCAGGTCTTGGAAGCGGTACGACATTGCTACAATTGTGGAGTGGTCCATAGGGACATCAAAGATGAGAACCTGCTCGTGGATCTACGCAGCGGAGAACTCAAGCTCATTGACTTTGGTTCAGGGGCGATTCTCAAGGACACCGTTTACACAGACTTTGACGGTAGGTCCATGGCGTGCATTTCTTGACTTGTTGCAGTTTAACACAGTCAGTTGATGAATATTGGCCATTGCAATTACCTTTTAACGTTCAAAGCAACCTGGATGGTGATGCAGCTTTTCCTCACACCTTGCTTATAGCCTATCCCACTATTGGGGCCACATTTAACACCATTCATAGTCCCCTATCTTTTTTAAGGCTTTGGAAATATCTATTGTAAATCCTAGTTCAATTGAATTTGCTACTTTGTTAAACTAAATGTTAATAACAATGTGTTTGTTACATTATTGCCTGCAGATTCATAGAATGGGGGTAGAAACATTGTTGCACACAGCACTTTTTAAATGATTGGCTACTTTAAAAATGGTCAGCTGCCATGTAACATCTGTTTGTTGTGAAACCTGAGTCTTGGATGCATGTGAAGGCCCACATCACGCTTCCTGTTTTTGTTTGGTATCCAAGTTACTCGTGCCCTTGGGGGGGGGGGGGGGGGTCACAGTAATGGGGAGGAAAATGGTTCTTTGTTATGGGGAGGACGTGTAGGGGTTATTTCAAGAAACAAAACCAATTATTGTGGCCTAAAATTAGCAGTTGCTGTGCGTCTGCTAAATGACTGAAATGTATTTGGTCTTCCCCCTAGTATTTTCTAGTCAGCCTCAGGCAGCACGCAGACAGTGTAGACACTGCAGGGGTGGGGGGAGGGATCAGACTGGCTGGTGGGTTTTTCTATGGGAAGATCCTCTCTCCTTCTCAACCCATTGGAGGACAAGGTCAGAGGGGCGGGACCTCTGGCTTTCTCATCCAATGGGTTTTGAGAAGGAGAATAAGAGTATGCAATTGAGAACTTCAAGAGCTGTCAGCTGACTGAAAGCTCCTTTATGGTGTTGCAGTCTGGTTCACATCCAAGGATGGGTTCATTACACACAAGTGCATTGTTTGCCTATATCTTTCTGTTTTAGGTTCAACTATTAGTACCACATTCTGAAATGTAAAATTGTCTTTGTCTTTTCCACCCTTTTCAGGCACAAGGGTATACAGTCCACCAGAGTGGATCCGATTCCATAGGTACCACGGACGGTCTGCAACGGTATGGTCACTTGGCGTGCTGCTATACGACATGGTGTGTGGCGACATACCCTTTGAACAAGATGAGGAGATCCTTGGGGGATGCCTGTTTTTCAGGAGGAAAGTGTCTACTGGTACGCGTCTCACTCTGTCCTCCTGCTGCTGTCTCCTTTAGTTTACATTGTATGTCTGTCAACCTGCCTGCCTGTGTTGGTCCTCTCCGGTGGGTTTTCAGGTGTTAAACTTCTCATTCTCTCGCTCTCTCCACAGAGTGTCAACAACTGATCAAGTTGTGCCTCTGCCTCAGGCCCTCTGACAGACCCACACTGGAGCAGATCTTTGACCACCCGTGGATGCGTGTCCCAATCGACGACTCAAAAATGGAGAGTTGTGACATCACGCTGCATGCAATTACCCCTGACTCCTCATCAAGCACAAACTCAAGCAAAGAAAGCCTCTGATTGGACAACCTTGTGTGAAGGGGACATTTGCAGACCTGTGGACTTGTGGTTCCTCAGTCTCAATAGGAGCGTGTTAACAGGACTTTTCGTTGGCAACTATAATTTATGGTTTTCCTCTAACTCTGTCATTGTTATTTTGAGGAAATGTTTCCTCACCTGGGAACTTGTTACTTGGGTGGTTTGACCAGCATTCTTTTATTTCAAGATTTATTTTTAGCTGGTTCATGTTCTGTAACCCCCTTATATCCAGATCTCCTGGCTGCTCTTATAGAGCATGAACTTTGTTTTTGTATTTTCATTGATTTGGAGTGCCTTTTTTAAAATATTTTTTTGCTGCTTTGGTGTGGCTGTAGTCATATGAACCTTGCGTTGGGTCGTCTGCATGAGAAATACCTAACCAGAGTAACCCCATCTCGCAAAGAACCAATCCCATGACAGGACCATGTGATGCAGGATCCCACCCACCGTCATGGTGGAATACTTGAAACGCACACTCATCCACACCACAAACTTTCTGCTGCTCTTTCACTGTAAATGTCTGCACAGCTGTGCGGAAATGGGGTTCATCATCTGTTTCTCTGAATGTGTACCGAAAGCATCAAAACCTCTCTCCCTCAATGGCGTCGTAGGGTTTCATACACTTGCGTTTCTGTACCCCATCTCTGCTGACACTACACAGCCCCAATATTGGCTTGGCTGGGACCTGTGTGTGAAATGCACAATCAATGCAATATTCATGGACTTTTTCATTTCTTCTTACTATTAGTATGTATATTTATGTACATTCTCCCATGTAAAATTATTTATTTGTACTAGACATTCCACACTGTGGCTATTTATTTATTTTATCAATTTAAGGAAATCCCAGAAATAAAATTATACATGGCCTTTTTTGCATTCCGGTAATTTCTCATTTAGAAATCACAATTGTTCTATATTGGTTATCTATTGAAAAATAAGAACAAAACAATTGAACTTGTGGTTGACCCAATCTTAAATCTCATTAATGCCTTCAATGAGACTGAAATGTGAGTTTAAATTCAAAATGGGTGAAATAATGATGGGAGATTATTTTCATACCAAAATTTCAAATAAACCTTTTGTATATTAATTACTTTGTGTGAGGTCTCTGTGACACGTTTGAATAGTCATACATAAACTACTCTTCACAAACAATACTCATCACAAAATAACATGAGACAATACTCATGTTTTGGAATAACGTTAACTAGTCATAGCCACTTTCCTGCTACCACATGCACAGCAATCATACTATGAGTCATTTTCATATGATGCACTGACTACAACAATGACTAACATCTGAGTCATAAGATCCCAGGAATAGCATTGACACCAAGCGTTCCAGTGATATGATGCTGCCCCCTATGGCATAAGTAACCAACAACACACATGCACTATGCTCAGGTTTCAACTCCAGCAGAGAATAGATGCCTTGTTTTATTCTTGGGCGTGAGCTCCGAACAAGCATCACTTGTCAATCAACATTTCATCAACTGGGTAACCTTGCAGTACGTTTAAGACTGGCACACCAATCAATATAGGTGAATCACCTTGCTTACACATCCTCTGTAGCTCAGTTGGTAGAGCATGGTGCTTGTAATACCAGGGTAGTGGGTTTGATTCCTGGGACCACCCATAAGTAAAATGTATGCACAATGACTGGAAATCGCTTTCGATAAAAGTGTCTACTAAATGGCATATATTATTATTGCTTTGTTGGATGCTAAGCCAGGACTGGTTTTCTCTCTGGGGAAAAGCTCTAACGTTGAACACAATGTACATACAGTGGGGGAAAAAAGTATTTAGTCAGCCACCAATTGTGCAAGTTCTCCCACTTAAAAAGATGAGAGAGGCCTGTAATTTTCATCATAGGTACACGTCAACTATGACAGACAAATTGAGAGAAAAAAAATCCAGAAAATCACATTGTAGGATTTTTTATGAATTTATTTGCAAATTATGGTGGAAAATAAGTATTTGGTCACCTACAAACAAGCAAGATTTCTGGCTCTCACAGACCTGTAACTTCTTCTTTAAGAGGCTCCTCTGTCCTCCACTCGTTACCTGTATTCATGGCACCTGTTTGAACTTGTTATCAGTATAAAAGACACCTGTCCACAACCTCAAACAGTCACACTCCAAACTCCACTATGGCCAAGACCAAAGAGCTGTCAAAGGACACCAGAAACAAAATTGTAGACCTGCACCAGGCTGGGAAGACTGAATCTGCAATAGGTAAGCAGCTTGGTTTGAAGAAATCAACTGTGGGAGCAATTATTAGGAAATGGAAGACATACAAGACCACTGATAATCTCCCTTCGATCTGGGGCTCCACGCAAGATCTCACCCCGTGGGGTCAAAATGATCACAAGAACGGTGAGCAAAAATCCCAGAACCACACGGGGGGACCTAGTGAATGACCTGCAGAGAGCTGGGACCAAAGTAACAAAGCCTACCATCAGTAACACACTACGCCGCCAGGGACTCAAATCCTGCAGTGCCAGACGTGTCCCCCTGCTTAAGCCAGTACATGTCCAGGCCCGTCTGAAGTTTGCTAGAGTGCATTTGGATGATCCAGAAGAGGATTGGGAGAATGTCATATGGTCAGATGAAACCAAAATATAACTTTTTGGTAAAAACTCAACTCGTCGTGTTTGGAGGACAAAGAATGCTGAGTTGCATCCAAAGAACACCATACCTACTGTGAAGCATGGGGGTGGAAACATCATGCTTTGGGGCTGTTTTTCTGCAAAGGGACCAGGACGACTGATCCGTGTAAAGGAAAGAATGAATGGGGCCATGTATCGTGAGATTTTGAGTGAAAACCTCCTTCCATCAGCAAGGGTATTGAAGATGAAACGTGGCTGGGTCTTTCAGCATGACAATGATCCCAAACACACTGCCCGGGCAACGAAGGAGTGGCTTCGTAAGAAGCATTTCAAGGTCCTGGAGTGGCCTAGCCAGTCTCCAGATCTCAACCCCATAGAAAATCTTTGGAGGGAGTTGAAAGTCAGTGTTGCCCAGCGACAGCCCCAAAACATCACTGCTCTAGAGGATATCTGCATGGAGGAATGGGCCAAAATACCAGCAACAGTGTGTGAAAACCTTGTGAAGACTTACAGAAAACATTTGACCTGTGTCATTGCCAACAAAGGGTATATAACAAAGTATTGAGAAACTTCTGTTATTGACCAAATACTTATTTTCCACCATAATTTGCAAATAAATTCATAAAAAATCCTACAATGTGATTTTCTGGATTTTTTTTTCTCATTTTGTCTGTCATAGTTGACGTGTACCTATGATGAAAATTACAGGCCTCTCTCATCTTTTTAAGTGGGAGAACTTGCACAATTGGTGGCTGACTAAATACTTTTTTCCCCCACTGTAATCAGCCCAATGTAGCATTCCCCCCATATGTGTCTTGACAGCTGTCTGCTAAGTACCTTGGGTAATAGGGCATTGTCTCTCTGCCCTGACATGTAAATGTCCCACAGCTTCATCAAGAGGCCTTCTGTCTCATATGCTATAGGCAAACAGTAACACAACCAGAAAATCCTGCCCATGTAAAGCTTAAATTAGCAAACAGTGCCTTGCTGTCTTTTTTATGAAAGTTCTTTCTTTAGTAAAGAAAGTCACTTAGGCCTATTCAATGACCAATCAACAATAAAATAAACTAGGTGATTAGAGTATAGCAGATTTTTGACCCTCAGATGTAGTTAACAAGTTGAACCATCTGTAATAATAGCCACGTTCACACCATCAGAAGAATGATTTGACAGTTTGACAGTTGTCAAAATCAGCCATAACCATGCCTAGTGATGGGTTCAATAAGGGGAGGCATTTGTGAATCAGTGAAGGAGAAACATCCTATCATTCCCTCTCCATATGATCAATCAGGGCCTCCTCAGGGCATAATTCCTGTCTAAGGACTAAGACAGCTGTTCACAGCTAATCAACCATCATATGCCATCATGAAGGTAGTGTCTACCTCAACTTGCATGGACATTCTAGCAGCTCAAAACACCAACATAAAATATTACCATTATTCCAGGGTAACTGTAAGGGAATTACTCAATAATACATTAATACTTATTTTTTTATTTTTTTTATTTCACCTTTATTTAACCAGGTAAGCCAGTTGAGAACAAGTTCTCATTTACAACTGCGACCTGGCCAAGATAAAGCAAAGCAGTGCGATAAAAACAACAACACAGAGTTACATATGGGGTAAACAAAACATAAAGTCAAAAATACAACAGAAAATATATATATACAGTGTGTGCGAATGTAGTAAGTTATGGAGGTAAGGCAATAAATAGGCCATTGTGCAAAATAGTTACAATTTCGTATATTAAACACTGGAATGATAGATGTGCAAAAGATGATGTTCAAATAGAGATACTGGGGTGCAAATTAGCAAAATAAATAACAATATGGGGATGAGGTAGTTGGGTGGGCTAATTTCAGAATGGCTGTGTACAGGTGCAGTGATCGATAAGCTGCTCTGACAACTGACGCTTAAAGTTGGTGAGAGAGATAAGAGTCTCCAGCTTCAGAGATTTTTGCAGTTCGTTCCAGTCATTGGCAGCAGAGAACTGGAAGGAATGGCGGCCAAAGGAGGTGTTGGCTTTGGGGATGACCAGTGAGATATACCTGCTGGAGCGCAGACTACGGGTGCGTGTTGCTATGGTGACCAGTGAGCTAAGATAAGACGGGGATTTGCCTAGCAGTGATTTATAGATGACCTGAAGCCAGTGGGTTTGGCGACGAATATGTAGTGAGGGCCAGCCAACAAGAGCGTACAGGTCACAATGGTGGGTAGTATATGGGGCTTTGGTGACAAAACGGATGGCACTGTGATAGACTACATCCAATTTGCTGAGTAGAGTGTTGGAGGCTATTTTGTAAATGACATCGCCGAAGTCAAGGATCGGTAGGATAGTGAGTTTTACGAGGGCATGTTTGGCAGCATGAGTGAAGGAGGCTTTGTTGCGAAATAGGAAGCCGATTCTAGATCTAACTTTTGATTGGAGATGCTTAATGTGAGTCTGGAAGGAGAGTTTACAGTCTAACCAGACACCTAGGTATTTGTAGTTGTCCACATACTCTAGGTCAGACCCGCCGAGAGTAGTGATTCTAGTCGGGTGGGCGGGTGCAAGCAGCGTTCGGTTGAAGAGCATGCATTTAGTTTTACTAGTGTTTAAGAGCAGTTGGAGGCTACGGAAGGAGTGTTGTATGGCGTTGAAGCTCGTTTGGAGGTTTGTTAACAAAGAAGCTATCTAAGGCAGGTTGAGGTGGGCTGGGGGCTCTACAGTGAAATAGTACAATAAGAAATAACCGAAACAGCAATAAGTAAGGCATATTGACATGGGAGAGAGGCATAAAGCAATCACAGGTGTCATTCGAGAGAGCTAAGACAACAGCTGGTAATGGCGACAAAGTTTGGGCTGAGGCTAAACATAAACAGGATGCGGTACCGTATAAAGGAACAGTCCAGCAGGCATCAGCTGTATAGCTGAGTTATCATAAGGTCCGGTGAACAGTAACAGGAGACACATTCATTAATACACAACATTTGATATAATAATGTGTAGCATACAGGGAATGAAGCATACTGTTGTATTATTGACATGCATTACACGTTCTATGATTTTTCTTTGTTCCAAAGAAACAAGCCGCCTATGTCATGTTGAGAAGGACTGTTGCAAACGTCTGATGTCACATAACGCCACAAGGCTCAGACCTCTGAAGAAGTGGGGGAAAGCTGGTCTTGCCATATAGAGAGCTTGTTGATGACGGACAGCGTGTTGTGAGTGGGTGCAACATGACTCAAGGCCGGCAGGAATAGAAAGAGAAGAGAACACTTCAGAAACAAATTGATGACTAAATCAATTACATCAAGGCATATATCTTGAGCAACTGATCAAGCAGCACTATGTAATTGCCTTTAATTCAACACAAACGGGTTGCCAAAGCTGTCTCCTTGCTTCCTGTTATCACAGAGATGTCCTTGCATGGTTATCCGGAACGGTCAGCCAGCTCACAACACAGCACACTGACACACAAATACAATGTCCCCATCTCTAT